TGGTTGCTTGGTGATTGGTGAGGGTGATGGCAATGAGAGTGACGATCAGCAAGGGATGGTGAAGATCCGAAGTGAAAGAACGGAGGTGATGGTGGCGATGGTGGATCTGCAGAAGGGAGAAAAATCAAGAGGCTTGTCTTTTTTCTTTTTTTTTTTGTTTGCCAGCCGCCACCTCCTCCTTCCCCTTTAAAGAGAGGAAACTAGGGTTTTTTTTATTAAATTTGGGTTTTGATGGGCTGGTTTATGAAATTGGGTTGAAACTTGAATTAAATTGTTAGTGGGCTCAATATTGGGATGGATTTATGAGTTTATTTTAATAAATTTCATCCTCAGCTTTTTAATTTTTTCAATTGAGTCCTTTTCTTGTTTTTTTTCTTCAACTTCTTCACACAAATTTTCACAAAATTTTTTTATAACAACAAATTTGAAATGGTACACGAAAAATTTTGGTATCCGGTACGCGAAAAATTCCAGTATCAGGTACGTACCGTTCTAGTAGCAAAATCGGTACGCATGCCGGTACGGTATTGACTCCTTTGGAGATGTTATCAGTTTGCTTCTCAAAGAAAAACGCAACTACTTAAATCATACAGCTGATTGGCTTTTCTCCTATGTTGTTTGGTCCTTATGGCACTCCAAGAATTAGCTTGTTCACAATAACACACAAATTCCCATCACTGATCTCAAGAACACTACTTGGAATCGGGCTCAAGAATTTTGTAGAATGAATCCTTGTTTTGTTGTGATTAAACCCAGAACTTCCATTGATGTGGGTTGTTCTCCTCCTCACCTGGGTTTATCAAACTTAATTCTAATGGTTCGGCTCTTGAAATCCCAGGAATTGCTAGTATAGGGGGACTATTAAGGGATCACTTAGGTTAATAGATCTTTGGCTTCTTGCGTAAAATTGACTGGACCACCTGTCTTGCTACTGAGCTGTGGGCCATTAGGGATGGTTTAGCAATTGCTTGCTACTACTAAAGGGTTTTTTAAGATTCTTGTGGAAACTAATTCTAAAGTTGCGTGCCTTCTTCTTCGTTTGACAGATGCTAGTTTTCACTCA